AAATTTTTAAAAAATTAAATGGAATAATTTTTGTATCACAAAAATCCAAAGAAGAAAAAAATATATATATAGCAGCATTGCTTTTAATAACAAAATACTGAACAAACTTAAATATACATGAATTTGATACATCCATTCAATGGAAAACTGTTAGCAGTCTCAAAGGTGACCAAGTTCTATATGGAGAACTGGATGGTGAGGGACAAGAATGGGAAAAATTCTTCAGTCTCTCTCTATATATTTTTGTAACCTTTGAATTTTGAACTACATGATTATATTACCTAACCAATCATTTTAAAAAAATTAAATGGAGCAATTTTTGTATCACAAAAATCCAAAGAAGAAAAATGGGTTTGAGGTGGGGTCACACTGTTTGGATTTCTCAGTTCCCACAGTTATTGACAGTATAGCATAGTAGTCAATCTGGATTTTAACTTTTGCTTTGGCAAATTACAAGACTATGTGAGTTTTAGTAAGTTTCTTTACTGCTATAGGCCTGTTTGCTCACCTGGAAAATGGGGATAATACCTCAGAATAGAGTGACTATAAAGTAATATACAAAACTATGGTTTTAAAATCACTTGACAGGATGGCCATCTATGAATAAATATTCCAATTGGTTATCCAATAGGTTCAAATGTATTCAAACTAGCTGTATCGCCATGGTCAAGTTAGAAGATAAAACCAAAGAGCAGCTTCTGGAAGACATTGTACTTTCTATCCTGAGAACTACTAATAGATCAAAAATCTCATGGGAAGTATTAGTGTGGGTTATATCATAGCCTACACCAAGCAAATCCTATATGGTGCTGGGGCTGAATTCTGCCGCTCAACCAAAATGTCTAATTGACAAATTAATCAATAAGGAAATGGAAAAATACACCAAGGTTGATAGTGTGTTTATTCCTTGGGAAGGTGGCAAAGGGTGAAACAAAACTATACTAACCACCACATCAGACTTGTATACAACTTCTAATACACACTACATTAGAAATGCACTAGGTGGGATGGGTGGAGAATGAATGGTGAAAAAGATATATTCACATAGCCTGAAATTGCAACTAGATAGCAAGGTCATAAGAAAGTATTCTATGTGCCTGCGTATGACTGTAGCCAGCCCAAGTGGTAGGTACCAAGGGACAAACATTCAGAAAATTACACTAGGTGGAACATCAGGCTATTTCTAGCTCTGCCAAACTTATTAACTGTGGAATAATAGTTATTCTGTTTCCCATGGCATCCCTCTCCCTACTTTAAAAGGATATCAGACAGTATATAAAAAACTTTGAAATTTCTAGATATTATTCACAGGCACAGAGATATTAGTATGAGGTCATTTCACCCCTAGAAGAATTTATGACAAACTGAAAAATATGCCTCATTTGTCTTTCTGACAATTAAACAAGTTTAGTTTTATTAAGCCAGAAGCTCCTCCTTAAAATAGACATATTTTCAGGATTTGTTCTTTTTGAGCACTTTGTTCATAGCACACTTCTGATGAATACATTATGAAGCAATTTACAGATATGGAAGAAGATGCTAAAACCAAAAATCTTTTCTTGAAGAAGGATAGGATCACTCATCTAATATGAGATAGAATAAATGCTGTTATACAGCATCTTTTTCAAAAAACAAAAAAGTAGTCAAGCACTGGGAAAGTGTAAACATGACAAATTAAAAAATTCTCCTTCATATAATTTCAGCTGGTCTTTAACAATGATTAGAGGGGCTCAAGATTTCATCACCTTACATAAATGCTGCCTTAAAATTACTGGCAAAAATAGGTTATTTCTCATCTTTTAATTAATATTTGTTCAAAAGTGTCATGTTGAACCAGAGTCAGGAGGAACCTTAAAGATAATTTAGTCCAAGGCTCCAGATTCCAAACAGTACCAGTAAATTTTGCAGTGTTACTGTATTAAACTAGATGCCACTTGCCATCCACTGTCCTCCTCTATGTCCTGTAAAAAAAAAAAAAACACAAAAAAAACACACACACAGAACTCCCAGTACAAAGTCAATAGGAGTACTGTAGCCTTCTCTTTCTTTATTTTACTAAGGAACTTTATAGTAAGCACTTACTGGTAGTGAAAAGACATAAAAGAATCACAAAACTTTGAAGAAATGAAAAGTCATTTCTTTCAGTTGAGAAAAACTTAACATGGTCCAACTTTTTCATGTTATAGAGAAAATATTATGTCCAAATGAAATTGTCTAGTTAATTAAGAAGCAACAAGACAAAATCCAGTATTTCCTCCAATACTGAATGTGGAACTTAATTTATGAACAGACTATTTTACTGGAGTTGGACCTCCAAAAACAATACTAAAATGCTCTTCTCTAGGGTATATAGCATGTAATAATACTGGACTCAAAAATTAAGAGAACTCAAGATTATACTCAAAAGCACTTTACCCACAGAAATCATCCACAAAATTAAACGGTCTCTAGATTATTTTCATATTCTATATTTTTGAGTGGGAATGAAAACTTAACTAATAAGAACTACTAATTTGAGAAGTTTGGATAGGAAAAAAGGAGGCTACGTACGTTCTGATATTTAGTTTACTCATAAGGTGATGAAAATCACTACTACTCATTTGAAAAATATTTTATTCCCTTAATATGTACCCCTCAGGATGGTCATGTACATTCAGCACAACAGAAATTCAGCTCAGTAATTCTAGAAAACTAAGTACTAGCCACTAAAAAAATTTCAAGTAGTTTATTTTGGTGTTATACTTTTATATTTTAGAATATCACCATTATTTGTGACTTAGGTCAAACATGAAACACAAGAGATCAGATTATTCTCAAGCTAAGAACAAGGCTTTTTCTTGAAAAAGAAATGAACAAATACAAAAACGAATAATTATGAATCATATGGTAAAACACCAGCATAAATGTACATCAAAAATAAACAAATTGCCTTTCAAAAATAACCTAATTCAAGTCCCAAATCCACCCTAACTCTTCCTCCCATCTCTGATTTTCTATCACACACTTTCTGTGACTCATAACACACTCCCTTGTATTGTCTATATTACTTTTATACAGATAGGTATTAATTATATCTCAAGCTAAGGCAGTAAGTTCCCTTGAGGAGAGAGACTTTACAGTATACTGTATACTACTACTTTACAACAGGCACCCAAAGACTAGCTGGCATTTATTTTTTGGCATGTATTTGTCTATTATACAGTTTTTTCCTTCCTCCAAGAGTTTATTTTTGGTAAATGGAAGGAAAATTTGTTTTTCTACAAGGGAAACCTACTTCTAAATGATAATTTGAAAATCTTGATATATATTTTTTAAGATACACAAAAATAATGGAGAAGTGGGAATAACAGATTAGGTACTGTAACTTTATAAAGGCTTGCCTAAATCAAGAAGCCACACACACATATCTAATTTATGCAAACTAAAATTTTATATAAACTGCACTATACTATGATACTGTATATATTACCTAATTACAAAACAGAGTCATAATCTAATAGGCTGCTTCCTAGACAAAAGGGTTAATATAGCTTTGATTTGCTAATACTAAAAGCCAAACTACAGTACAATTCTCAAAGGCACAATATTTAAATAGAAAAAACACCCTAAACACATACATACTTTATTGCAACCAAAAATTATATACCAATTGTAACTACTACTACATTTAATGTCATCAAAATTTGTAAATAATGTATAAACCAAAAATAACACGCTGAAGATATGGTCATTCAATTAAAAGCCATCCTGACATTGTGTTCTTGCTCCTTGTGAAGACGATTCTGGAAAACCTGTGCTACCTCTTCTACCTTCCTTTGCAGCATGCCTAAAGGGGGGGAAACGTCATGCATCATTAATCTGAGACCAAAAAAATACCAGGAACATAACTTATATTCTCCCTTCAACATACGATTTATAAAACTTTACATATTGGTGTTTACAGCTCTAAGTATTATAATTACAGAAAAGTATTTGTCTATCTGTTTGGAAACTATAAAAACAGTAGACAAGACTGTTCTTGATTTGCTCTCCCTAGCTTTCCAGCATATAGCAATCTACTTGACATTTATGTTTTGTTGAAGAAAAGTGTTAACTGCTTTTTTACACATTATAGCCTAAAAGTGCCATACGGGTGGTCATTAAGTTGAGGGTATAGATTTTCATAGGTCTTTG